CAGGACTACCCTCTGACTATTCTTAATAGGAGAAAACCCATATTGATAGCTAATGAATAAAATATTAGCCAACTCTGCTAAGTACTGACATAGACCCAGGGCTGCTTGCTGCCCTGGGACTACCCTGCTTTGCTCACAAACACAAATAGGAGCTGCTTATTTAAGAGGCATATGCCAACCTGCTTGGTTTGCACGAAAGAGTGATGACAAAGGATAAATTCCCAAGAGTCAATTCATTAATGCGATATTAATATTCCAGAGATAAGAAGAAATGGAGAGGCCGAGAGTTGAAGAAACAAAGACTCATTGATCATCTTCTGTGTACTCCATGCTTTATATAATTTATCTCATTCAGTCTTTGTGACAATCAATGAAGTAAATATTACTATGTTCACTTTACAGACGCGCATATCAAAACTCTGAGCTGTTGAACGACTTGTGTAAAATAGAGTGGTTGAACCCACGCTAATCTGATTCCAGACCTGTACTTGCTCCATTACACAATGCTGCTTATATTTAATACACAATATGGAGAGGCTCAGAAGTAAAAATGGCTATTCTAAATGCACTGAGTTCCTAACAAGAGGATTACAAACTATATCCACAGAAATACAGTGAAAACACAAAGACTCCCGTTTTATGACTAATGGTTGAAAACAATGACAGTTTGAGATTAGAGAAGAAAGTAGTCCTTAGATGTTTTAAAAACTGTCATGTAAAGAAGGAGTAAAGACAACATCCATTATACCAATGAATAGATCTTGGAGGGATGGTTGGGAATCTAGAGTAAGGAAGTCATTTCTTTTTCCAACCCAACTTGAAGGACTTTTGAATAAACAAATGAACAAATGTGTGTGTGGGTGCATGTAAGATATTTTATACATTGCTGTAGTCTCAATGTATATAAGAGGGCTTGGCATATAGTAGATGCTCAATAAATATATGTTCAGTGGATAAAATCTGGCCCAACAAAGAAAAACACTGGACTCTCCAGGCAATGAGATCCCCATCAAAGGATTTTTGAAGAGACTAAGGTTCTGAGCATGAATTCTTGCCTTTGGTGGGAGGTTGTATAACAGCCAAGTAAACGTTTGAGCACTCTCTAGATGCTAGGTAATGCACTAAACACTTTACAATCATTACTTCATTTAAGCAACACCACAATTGCATGAGTTAGGAACTATCAATATCCCATTTTACATAAGTAGAAACTGAGGTTTGCAGAGGTTAAGGCATTTGTCCAGCACTACATAGGTGTTAAATGGTAAGGCTTAGATGAAAAGCCCAGATTTTTACAGTTAACATTATGCTGTAATGGCCTGGCTGCATTAGATAATTGCCATGTCTCCTTCCAGTAATAAGATCTGACATATTCTATTTCTAATCTAGTATCTTTATTGAAAATTAATACCATGAACATGGAAGATGTTCTTCCCAAACAAGCGCCAGTTTCCATAGAAGTTGTATCTAAGGCTGCTTAGCATCATGGCATTTACTTGTTCCAACTAATTTCTTATCATTGACAAGATAAAATTCAAAATCCTTAGCATGGCACTTAATGTATTTCAGGATCTAATGTCATCTCTTACTTTTCCACATCAGCATACTTCTTTTGTCTGTTTATATGCTCTTTTTTACTACTACCACCTTGCTTTCAATCATGTTCTAGCTCTATACTGACCATCTGTTGCTCTGTCCTTTAGTCCATCCATCTGTCCATCCATCCATCCATCTACCAACTACCAGTCAAGAATGCGGTTATTTCTGGGGACAAAACCCTGCCCTCACCTCTTACAGTCACACAAAAGGGAACAAATAAGTAAGCCTACCTAATCCTGACCTATCACACAGGATACATCTCAAGGTGTTTTTCCTTCTATGAAGCCACGCCTAAGTATTCTGGTGCCTCTTCATCTCTTGTCTTTCACTCTTATAGCAGTATGGCCCATATCGTAACCAAAGTATAGTGAGTCTCATTTTAGATGAGGTTAGGCTCTAAAGTCAGTGTGAAAGGACAGAATAGTGAAACTGTCCTTGTAAATCCCTTAGGAAGAAGGTATCACGTTAGAGGCTGACTACAGTTTCCCAATACTTGCCTATCACAGCAAGTTTGCCCCCCATGTTGAAATGGATGATTAAAGTGCCAGAGAAGGAGTCAGCTCAGTTAAGAGCCAAGCTGTAGGGA